TTAAATGCAATGACCACTGAAAACAAAATTCAATTGCAAGAAAATGAAATGCTGAAAAAACAGTAACATTTAATGATTTAATTACAGCTGAATTTTAAGACGCAAAAAGAAATATAAGATCACACTGCAATGCAGGAACGAAGAATTTCAAGACGTAAACTCTGAAACTAAATTAAGATTTGAGGAAATTATATATTCATGCACACTATAAAAAGGGTTAAAAAGACACAAATAAATTTTTTACAGAAGGAAAACAACAAAAATCAGAGCGACAAATTTAATGCCTTAAACTGAAGGGAAAAAAATATATCTACACAAAAAGTTTACATGAAGAACACAAGAAAAATTGAAACCATAAAACCGAGAAAATATAATATCGAACTGGAGTGCATGCTAAAAAAGTACAATACAAAGAGACACACAGAGTCTTTCAGTCAGGAAGGCTTCACCGCTTCATTTGAAAAAGTTTTCTTACAAAGAAGACAAAATGGAAGCTGTACGTTGGAAGGAGATGGAATGAATCCCAATTTTAGGTATTCCGTTGAATATTGGCGACACTTCCTCTTCTCGGCCATGTTGAGAGGTCTTCGAAATGAAAGGCACTAACTGAAAATTAAATTTTCAACTGCACTGGAATACTATAAAACATACATGGGCATCGATAAACATAGTTTCAACAGTTACGTTGATATTACAGTTGACATCACGGGACAGCCACTCAGCATGCGATGTTTCGAAAGAAGCGCTCACCCCTTCCATTCTGGCCAATGGCGTGCCACTGTATGGGTAGACTGATAGAGGCTGCTGCGCAACGTGCATGAAGATGAGCGATGTGTATTCACATATGTATGGCGTTCTGTACTGAAGCTAGCTGGAGGAACATTTTAAAACACAGTTCAATCCACTAATAGCGAGTGATCTGATGTTTTTGTACGACAGATATACAGCGGTTCACTGTACGAAAAAAGTCTCAAAAGTGTCCCCAAAACCTCTCACTCCATCGCCCCCATATCTCCCTCTTCCATTCCTTCACCTCCACGTCACCTCTTTTCATTCCATCGCCCCCCTGAAAAACAAAATCACTCCCTGGGGGGTGATATCGCCCAGGTTAAGAACCACTGGTCTAAAGCACACATTCTTGGTGAGAGACAGGTTCCCTGAAGATGGGCTCCAGCATGAGTCTTCCAAAGCTTGGAAGACTAAACCTCTGGTCCCAGTGACTGACCCAGATTGGATCCTGCAACATTATCCTGGGACATATACGTTTGCCTTCATTTGTGATACTACTTGGTGTAAATTGTCATTACAATAGATTCCAAAAAGTTAATAAACTTAGGAATAATTGCAATTAACAACAGTAGGACAATATATGTTGAGTTTTCCCAATGAAAACTCTTGTAGCTTTTGATAGCATGATATATATTTTCCACTAAATGGTTATAGATGATAGGTAGAAATTGTGTTAAGTGGTTCAAATTCTCTGAAACTGTTCGGTGTTCATCACATTTGTTGTAAACAATGCATTAGCATTAATTTTCCAGTTCTTGCTGAGATAAAAATAATGCTATTGTTTCTGAACCTCTACTGGTGAATTATCAGGTTGAACTGCTTCAGAGGATTTTGAAGGAAAATAAATGAGTGTTTAAAGTTAATTCCTGCAATTTTTTATTGTTTATCTCAGAATATTTGTTTCAGAGATGTAGTAAACATCTCTAAGCAAGGGAAAAGTCTCTTTGTTCCAAAACATTAATTTAATCAGCATCTTTTCTAAATGGGAAATATTACTTTTCCACTTGGGGGAGAAAAAAAACTTTGAACAGTCTTATAGCTGATGAACAATCATCTTGAATAATCTCATCATCTGTTGTATTCATTGTGTTAATGAAAAGAGCAATTGGGGTGGGAAACAGAAGAACTTTTTCAACACAGTTGTGAAGCAACATGTGGATTTGTATGGACACTGCCCAGAAGAGACTCTCTGCAGCTTTGAGGATTGGTAGAGTTTTAAGTAACTCAAGTATCAAAGAAAAGTTGAAATGTAACTGAGAGGAACTTTTGCAAGCATTTGTGGAAATTATTTTTATTAAGTTTTGCTTTTTCTTGAGTAAATATTACTAAATACCGATGATGATGGACATCTGCTGTGATAATGTAAATATTTTCAGTGTGCCCCTGATTTTACAAGCTGTCTGTTCTCTCCATCTTGCAGTGTATCCTTCCAGATGAAGCTTGCGCCTTTCTTAATGTTGATATGATCTTTGCAATGATGCAAAATAAGAAAACCTTCACCAAACCCCTTGCTGTGATAACTAAAGGGAGACCAGAAGGTACTGAATATATTTTCAATCTCTGTATAAAAATTTGCCTCGCGGCACATACAATTTTGCAGTCTGGTGATATTATTATTATTCTGATTTATAAGACATCATTATTTTTAAACACTAATACTTGTTTGCACTCATTTTTTTCCTTAAATCTTCTTTCAAATGCAATTTGGCCAAGGGTTCATAAAGGAATGTATTTTGATTCTATGTAACAATATGGAATTCATAAACATTAAGTAATGCTGCACAATTGATTCCAGCTGTTCATTATGCTATAGGTATTGGGAAAGCGGTATATTTTTTTTCCCTTTGGGGCTGTAAATGCTTAATTGTAATGGAACTTCAAATATATTGAGAATATTCCGTAGCATTGTAGATTTCTATTAATAAGTACTACGGCCACAAAGAAAATGGCTGTATATATTTAGAAATGATTGCCTGAAGGAAATCATTTTTTCCTCCTTGTATCTGTATGACTATTAATCTATGTTTTCAAGAGGAGGAAATATATACAGTAATTAACAAATCTCTAGATGACCCTCGGAGTGATCTATCCTGTGTTATCCTTATTTGTATATTAAAGCTTCCTTACCCTCTATCTGTTTGGATAAAACTTTTCCAATGTATGCAACTTGCTTTTTGGTGCTTCACATCACAGCCCACATTTCTACTTTATATATTGACTTATTTTCCCCACATAATTACTTTTCTTAAAAATAGCTGTTCTCATAATATTTAGAATTTAAGGTTTTCTAAGGTATGCAAGGCTTCCAACCAATTAAATTAACCTAATTCAGTTAACTAACTAATTGGACCTATCCGATATTAACATATGAATAGTTCCAAGAAAATTTGCAGTTGTTTTGATAACCCAAAATTATTTGCACAGGTAGAACTAAGAAGAGGATTATTGCACTACAAAGAAACCCTTGTTGTCTCCCTAAATGTATTTGTTAGTTGTATATACCCTCCACCTTTCTCTCTATCTGTATGAGAAAAGAAACAATCCTATGCAATGTATTAATTTATTTTTTTATTTGAAACTGCCAGAAATCTGAAATCTCCCTCTTCGTAACTGAGTGCCATGAACATTCCTAATAAACGATGGTGTATATAAAGGTTCTTTTCATTGTGTAGTTGGAAGCACATTGATAAGCCAGAACATAATCCATATCCAAAAATAATACCCAAATTATTCAGGCATTATTGCTACCTCGGGAATATACAGTCCCTACACACACACACACACACACACACACACACACACACACACACAAACAGAATAGCTGCCAGCTTGGAAAGAGCTATTTAAGCCAACATTATCTTATTCATTCTAGATTGGAATTGGTTGTTGTTATTGTTTTTAAATAAATCCCTGTTGTGTTTCCTTTCTCTCCTGCCCATCCCCCGCACCCATTTCATGAGTGGAAAAATGGTAGAAAATTGCAGAATATAATCTCCCCATACTGTATGTAGTAAAGGATGACTATAAAATATAGTTTAAAAGGCAATAGGTAAATGAAACACAACAAGCACCACCACCAATCCTAACCAATGGAAGTTTGATCCCTAACCATTGTTTTCAAAATCAGGGTTGATTAATATGGATGGCAGAAACCCAGGAGTTCAACTAACAATGCATGTGTACATGAAAGTCATCTTTCTTTGGCCTTTCTAACAACATTAGCAAACATGAGCATTTATACTTATTTTTAATACCTCATCCGTGCACGCTCCCATTTGGTGTTGATGTGATACATTAATTAGAGGGTTTCAGTGCTTTCAGATGGAGATCAAAATCTTTCACTTCTACGCAAAGGCTGTTTGAAATTCTGGAATGCTTTCTAAGGGATTTTTTTTAAAAAAAAAAAAGATGAAGATCAGAAATCCCTTAACCTCAGTCACATAGAGAGCGTTTCTTGGCATTTAAGCAGTTGATGGTATGCCATGGTGCGCTGCTTGGGGTGTGAGAAGGACCACTGTTTCTGCTTAGCTATTTGAGACTGCAAGGAGTTTTTGCAAATCTTTATTCTTGACACAAATGAATCCACTGAGGACAACTCTGAAAGATTTGGTCTCCGTGCACAATGCAATTAAAATGCTTGCTTTTTTTGTGTGTTTTTCTGGCCGTATCTATAATCTCTCATGAATTTCAATAGCTAACAAAATGCCTCATTGGATCAGCCAGAATGGATGTCATTTGGGTTCAATTCTCTAAGGAATCTAGTACCTCTGTAGTTTAAATTGGACCAAATATTTTATAGATCTTTTTTAGATGTTTCTTACTTTAGAAGAGAAAAGTGTGTGATAATAAACATAGTGAACTAAGGGCTGACAAGATTTATTGTGCGATGCATACTGGAATGTGTCCTAGAATTTTTCAGACATTCAGCTTAATGGGCGTGCAGCATACACACAGTGTATCTTTATTGCCATTTAACCTCTTGGTTATGACTCAAGCCCTTGAGGTTAATTGGCGCTATGAACTAGGAGCAAATTTGTAAGGCTTAGAAATGCTAGCAACTAAAATAAGAGTTGCATCTCCAAGACATTAGCTATCGCTGATTTTGATGCAAAGCAGGCCATTGGTTGTGTGCATTGTTACAAACCATATTATTGGATCCATTCCTGTTAGATCTGCATTAGAAGCCAAATAAAGAAACTTGGAGGCACCTTAGATACAGAACCAGAACAGAACGTTCAGTTCCACAACTCGCACGTGTTACACGCGTGCCATGAATGGTGATCGAGGATAATATAGTTGCATGTTTAAGAGAAAACAAATCCTTCCAGATTTTTTTTTTTTAATGTTACAAGGTTGGGCTATGTAGGGCACGCCATGAATTCAATCCTAGTGAAATTAGAAACATTTAGAAGCGTTTGACTTGTCGGCCATATTTATGGTTTTCTTTTATTAGTTAGTTTGCATTTTCTGTTACTCTGGCATCCCCCATTTGCCTTCCAAGGTTGCAGAGAGCAGCATAGCAATAGCACTTAGACTTACATACTGCTTGAAATTGCTTTCCAGCCCCCTCTAAACGGTTTACAGAGTCGGCATATTCCCCGCAACAATCTGGATCTTCATTTTACCCAGTGGCGGATTAAGCACTGACAAATCTTGGTGCCCCCCCCCTTCCTTTGTACGTACTGCACCAATCTTCATTGGGAATTTTTCTTTCTCAACTTTATGGTGCCCCCTTTGGGCCTGGTGCCCTAAGCACATGCTTAGTCTGCTTAATGGTTAATACACCACTGCTTTTACCCACCTCGGAAAGATGGAAGGCTGAGTCAACCTTGAGCCTGGTGAGATTCATCTGCCAAATTGCTGGCAGTGGGCAATCAGCAGAAGTAGCCTGCAGTATTGCACTCTAACCACTGCGCCGGTTCATGGATATGATAGATTGTACAACAGGCAAATATATATTATTAATTAATATTAATATGATGGTTAAAACCTAGGTTGATGTCACGCCTGTCTTCTGCAATCAGAGTCAGAAATTGTGGGCTTCATCTCTCAGCAGTGACGGAGGGAATGTTGTGTCATTTCTGAAAGGCTTCTCGATTGGGAGAAACTATTTTATGCAAACTATTTTGGGAATAAAATTAGTTTGCCTCTATATTCTTTCAATGCCTTGGATTTACATGTCTCCAACTTACTCTTACTTCTTGGGTCTTTGGGATAACCACATGTGTTTTACCATAAATGCCCCAAGGGTGAAATCTTAATTCTTTACAGAAAAAGCCAATACTTGTGATTTGGCAATAATTGGACAGCACCTGGTAACTTTTGTTGCTTGCTTTTTTTTCAAGATTATTTCACCAAAGACACTTAATGAGATAGAAAGGATTTCCTTTCCTCTTCTTTATGTTCTCACTCAAATTTGATCAATTTAACTGGATTTCTTACTAGGTTACAGATTCTACTTAAGAATTTCTGTTGGGTATAAAAAATTTCTTTCTGTCTTTCCTTTTTTTTCTTTTTTGGCAGATAAATCCTCCCACTTGAATCCTTCTGAAGGATCAGCGTGTAAGTATATATAATCCTCCTTGTTTTTAGAGAAGTACATCTAGAAAAATGAATAGAATAGGGCAGAAGAGAATCCCAGAAGGTCCCAGAGGTCTTCTAGTCCAACCCCCTGTCTAAGGCAGGAATCCTTAAACCATTCTGGACAAATGATTGTCCAATCTTTTCTTGAAAAACTCTAGTGATAGACTCCGAGAGGCAAGCTGTTCCACTGATTAATTGTTCTCTCTATCAGGAAATTCCTTTTTAAGTTCAAGGTTGGATTTCTCTTTGATGAGTTTCTGCCCATTGCTTCTTGTTATACATTCAGGTGCTTTGGAGAATAAGTTCACCTCCTCTTCTCTGTGAAAACCCTTCAAGTACCGGAGATGGCTATTGTCACCCTTAAGCCCTTTCTTCGTTAGGTAGCCATACCTACAATAGTTTCCTTAGTCCCTTAGCTGTTCATCATACGATTTAGTTTGTCTTTGTTGCTCTTCTCATCACTTCGTTGCTCTTCTCTTCACTCTTTTTTGAATGTATGAGTTATATAGAGGAGCAAGGTTTTTTTTTTAGGAGAAAACCCTTGTAGGGAAACTGCCAAAGAGGAACTAGGCCCTCAGGTTCAAATTCCCATTTTACCTTGGAATACATCTGAGTCTCAAGATATTTGCTCTGGAAAGGGGGATTAAGCCAATAATTCTCCATCTTGGGCTGTGGAAGTAAATATACATAATGTTAGCCATAAAATAAACTAAATAATATCTAAATTAACAAAACTAGGGTGATTGGTGGATGGGATTCACCAATGGCTAGATCCATGGTCTCCATCTTTGCTTGCTGCTTTTGCTATTCATGCTATTTCTTTAAAATCAAATAAGGCTTCCACAGGCCAGGTAGAAATGAAATTGTACGACACCCTCGTGAATTAAAAACAAAACAAAGTACAGGTAGTCCTCAACTTACAACCATTCATTTAGTGACCATTTGAAGTTACAACGGCACTGAAAAAAAGTGACTTCTAATTGGTCCTTGCACTTACGACCATCGCAGCTTCCCCATAGACACAGGATCAAAATATGGGCGCTTGGCAACTGGCAAACATTTACACCAGGGGTGTCAAACTGGCGGCCTGTGGAACGGATGAATCGCGTGCAGGCCACTCCCACCCGGGCTCCACAGAGGCGCAAAATGTTGTGATAAGTCATGTGAGTTTGACACCCGTGATTTAGATGATTGCATCATCCCAGGGTGATGCTATCACGATTTGTGATCTCCCCAGCTGGTTTCTAACAAGTAAAATTGGTAGGGAGAATCTGGGTTTGCTCAACAATTGCATAGTTCACTTCACAAACTCACGCTTCACTTAACAACCATGGTGATTTGCTTAACAACCACGGCAAAAATAGTGCATAAAATCAGCTGCAACTCATACGACAAAAGCCTAGCTTAGCAATGGAAATTCTGGTCCCAATTGTTGGTGTAAGTCGAGGGCTACCTGTAGACGTAATGTTGTGGTGTTGGCCTCACTGTGAACAATCAGCTGAGGAAATCAAGCAGTGGGAGAGATGGCCAGCACTCCGTCTTAGGATGGCCTTCCAGTGCAATTAGCAGTTAGCAATAGCAGTTAGACTTATATACCGCTTCATAGGGCTTTCAGCCCTCTCTAAGCGGTTTACAGAGTCAGCATATCGCCCTCACAACAATCCGGGTCCTCATTTTACCC